TATCACATTCTATTTTCCCCGCAGGTGACACAAACATACTAGCTCACTTTTGTAGCTTATCTGTACCATGCTGCCTAAATTCTGGGCAAAAAAAAAAGTTTCTGAAGACATCCAGAAAACCTGAATTATATTACTCCAAAACACTTTTAAATAGAAAATCTGGTTACTTTGAACCAAAGAATAGAGAAACAGGTGTTACTATAAAAGTATGTATGCTAACAGTAGTTAGCTTTTAGCCCCGAAGGTGGTTTTGGAAAGATTTAAATCATCAATGGATCCTTGTCTAGAAAAAAAAAGTTAAACATAATTCATTGAGGACACAACCTTTTTTTTATCTGAACATACAATAAATGCGGCTTCTTGAGAGATAATTAAGACAGCAGGTCAGTATCACTGAAATCTCCCTCCACTGGCGGCTTCTGGGAGGCCTTTGCGGCGTCTGACGGCGCTTCGAGTTGGACCGGCTTGAACTGTTTCCAGGGGCTGGAGGGGCAGTGGAAGGGGTGTTTGTTGGCGTTGGGGGAGGCCGTCGTGTCCTCCTCGGATGATTCCTCTTTGGCTGGAGCCTTGGAGGGGGATTGTATCGATGGAGGAGACTGCGACGGTGAAGAGAGGGACGGAGGCGGTTTCAGGTTCCTGAGTGGAGACCAGCCGGGAGGACGGCGCCGAGACTGAGGGGAAGGTACAAACAATTAAATGGAGACGAATAATTTACTTCACGACGACGCCGTTATAAGAGCCGTTATAGGTAGAAAAAGCAGGAGTACATTCCTGCCAAAAAATACACATTTGATCAAAAAACAAGAATATTTCTGAATTTGAAAATTCTAAAATTTTACTAGAAAAAAAATGAAATTTTGAGATTAATTTCAGCAATGTTCTACAAAAACGTGGACATTTGAGTTTCAAAAGTAAAACAAAAATCGACTTTTGAAACTCAGAAAGTTCCTTGTTTTTCTCAACGATTTCTGATTATTTTTTAGGCAAATGTTCAACTTTTCATACTCAAATTGCAGATTTTTCCCTTCAAAATTTGAGTTTTTCTAGCAAATTTTTGACTTCAAACAGAAATATCCTTATTTATTTTCTAAAGAGAATTTCTGATATTTATCTTAAAATGTATTTTTCTACCAAATGTTGTTTCATGCTCAGATTTCCTTGTTTCTTTTTTTAGATAAATTCTATTGAAATCTTGAGAAAACTTCTTGTAACGTTGAAAAAAATTATCTTGAGAAAAATGGTCATCGTTACTTCACTTAACATAAATATTTAGCTACTGAGAAAAAAAGTACTAGTACAACTGCTCTTGACTTTTGTAGAAATTTATTACATTAGCAACACTTTTAATTGAGGAATTGAAATAAACTGAGACTGTAAACTACATTAAAAAGAATTCAAGTGTATATTCTAATTAAGTTAGAATGTGTCAAACCTGAGGTATGCGGGCCAAATCCAGCCCACCAGAAGTTTTTATGAGGCCCTCCAGACTCTAGAAATCTTTGATACCAATGTGCTGAAATATGATTTTATTGATAAAATCAGCAGTTTTACCTGCATTGTGCTGAATTACATTAATGTGAAAATATATTTAAAAATAAGAGATTTCAAGATGTTTTCATCAAATCCAGAGACAATTATTTATTTATTTTTCAACAGTTTATTATGGGAAGTTTTACCAATATTTTCTGCCACCATTTGCCTTTCTTAGGACATTCTGATTCTCCCATGATTTAGATGATTTGGGCTTACAGCTAATGAATTCTCATAAAATCGAAACTTTAAGTTTAAAATGCTAATTTTAATTCAGAAATGTTTTGGCCTACTGCAGAGTATATGTCTGCAATATTGGTTGGTTTTTTTGCTTAAATTACTGCGAAGTTGATGTTTTTTTCTTCTACTCCTTTTAACAAAAAGCTTTCCTTCCACTCAACTTTCCAATAACAGCTTGAATACGGCATGCTGTAAACTGTCAGCTCATTTAAAGTAATGCCAAAAATACATATTGTTTTGTCATTGCAAGTCAAAGTAAGTGTCTCACCAAAGGTAGGGCTCCGTTTTCGCACTCTCCCAGGAAGACACCCGGCTGCTCCAGTCTCCATGGTGCCATATCCACCGTAGCGTTACAGTTTACAAACTCCTGAATTACGTTTTTTAAAAAGTGAAAACCCAATCATATCGAAAAATTCTAAATTCAGTCGATTTATTTAATGTTTTTACCTCATTCTCCACATCTGGGACACACAGGTCGTTGAGATCTTTGTGCTCAGCCTTTGCACACGTTGTTTTCTTCATGTCGAATCTCAGCTTGTACCTGAAACCTGCAACAACCTGCAAACATCAGCACAGTAAATTCAGAGCAGGAATAATAATTTCTTACTGTTTTTGTCTTTTTCCCCCGCTGTCAGTCTGTACCTGTCTGGTGGCATGGCCGACTCTGTTCAGGGTGAACAGGTGAGTTGAGTTGGAAACGGAGTTAAACTTGGACACAGATGCTAAAAGAGGAACTTTAAGGTCCTCTGAGTTTTCTGCAATCTCCACAGGGCAGCCCAAACACTTTGCTTTCTCTGAGGAAATGTAGTCGTCTGAAGAAAAGAAATGAATAAACAATGTGTAATAACACTGTCATCAGCATAAAAAGATGCCAGAATATAAACAAGGTGAATGTAATTTTTGAGCTTAACAATCTTACCAAGCATTTTGGTCTAATTTCCAGTGCAAACATCTTAGTACATTTGAATTAAAACAAGTATCTTCTCAATGAGATATGAGCTTGGTTTACTTAAATGAATCCTTAATATTGATTTAAAACGTACCTGTGAATAATCTGACAGTGTAACTATTAACCTTTCATCAATATTAAAGAATTACTGAGTTAAAACATGCTCCTGTCTCCTGAAAAGTTGTTTTTTAAGTTAGTTTTGTCTTATTTTAAATGTACTTATATGTTTGCACTAGAACTAGACAAAAATAACATGCTAAGATTTAGTGTTTTTGCAGTGTTCAAAAGGTAAATCAATAATTTTTAGGATTTTTTGAGTATTTAAAATAATGAACAAGATAGAAAATAAATGAGGAAAACCACTAGGAGGCATCAAACCACCAAAATGTTTTATTAATTTCAGTGTTTTCATTACTTTTACTGTTTTCTGCCAGACGTTTATATTTTTAGTAACTGGTATTTTCTTTTCTTCTAATAGATCAGATCAGTTTAAAATGTGTAAAATCTAAACATCAGATTCAGCTCGTGTGATAAACTTTAAATTCTTCAGCAGAAAAATGTGATTTTATAAAAGGAGGAATTTTCCATGTAGATCCTGGAAAATGTTGCCTCCCGGTTTGAAAGAATCTGTTTGTGTTTGCCTCCCTCCGCCTGGGCCTTAGAAAGCAAACAGATTAAAGTCTACATGCTGCTGTTTTCCATGCAGTGATAGGTTAATGTTGGGCTTTTCTTATTTGCTCCAATGTGTTTCACAATCTTGGTTTCTCCACACCCACCAGTGCATGTTTCCCTATTTCCAAATGTTTTTAAAGCAGAATGATGTGACAGAACAACATAAGAAGGAATATTTTATTCATTTAATCTAACTCGTGTTTCTGCAGGAGCGCTCAGATATCAGACTTTTTGCACACGATAAACGCAAGTAATGTTTCTTAATTCAAGACTGCAGTGAGAATGTTGATCAGAACTAAATGGAGAGATCAGATCGATGTTTGCAACATGTGGAACAAGTTCAGGTATTGTCCAAAGTAAACCTTTTAAATCTAAACGTTGTAGTTTAGATTTTTTGACCAGAAGCATAGAAATTTTGATGGAAAAGTCCCAGTACCACTGGGAGATTATTTCACCTGTGACACAGGAAGAATGTGCTGTTAAAGTGAAATAATCTGCCAGTGGAACTGGCGGATTATTTCATTGGCCTAAAACAAGCTCCTGTTTCTTTCTGAAAAGTTACTTGTAAGTTAGTTTTATCTAAAGTGTATTAAGGTATTTTCACTAGAAACTACAACAAAATACGTTGTAATATTTAGTGTTTTTGCTGTTCTCTATAAATGATGGATGATGCTACATACGTGCTAAAATGAGGGAAAGAAAACATTTTCCCCAAATGATTTTATTTTGGTCCAGTTTCTAGCGAAAATATCATATTTCACTTTAAATAAGACAAAATTAACTTACAAGTAATGTTTTAGCAAGAAATAGGATCTTGTTTTAGGTCAATAATTGCTTTATATTGATAAAAAATGACCAGTTCCTCTGGCAGATTATTCCACTTTGGGGAAAGTGTTGAACTTTTCTCTAAAACTGCTTTGCTTTTACAAATTTTGAGACATTTTTGATCAAATCTTCTTTGCTTTGACCTTCACCTCTCAATTCTATTATTTCAGACACAACCCTCCCCCCATCCAAACTATTTCAATATTTTATGCCTTATATGTTTTTTGTAGATTTTCTATGGCTAAATAAATGGAAATGTACCATAATTTATTTGATTTAATGTTTTGCTGCACTGCAGGATGCAGGTGGATCATTTCCAGTTTCGGGTAAGTTCATTCGCTCACCCATATTGCAGTAAACCTCTTTGGTGATGGTTTCTTTCTCATTCATGTGGACTGTAGAGTTGCATGAAATTGCTGCCTGGAGGAAAAACATCGTAGATTCATTTTTTTAAAACTTAAACTTTGTTCTAACACAAATATTAAGACTGAGAGAGTTTTTAAAAATAATTTAATATCCGTTAATAATTTTAATGTCGTTACCAGAGCTCCTGTGGGAAGATAGTCGCAGTCTGTCCAGTTTTTGCTGCCCCCTGCTGGACAGTCACTCCTCCTGCTTGTAAACTCCAGGTAGTACATGGAGTCGGATCCGTCCTCTGTCTGCAATCACACAATCAGGAAACAGCAATTTAAGGACAAAAAGTCTAAAATTCGCTAGAAAAACCCCAGAAATTTTGAGATTAATCTAATAAATCTTTGCAAAAACACCTGGAAATTTCAGAATCCCAAAAGTTGAAGTTTTTTTTCCGAGAAACAACTCTGAAATTTTGAAATGAGTGTCAGAAATTTTACAGAAAAGAACTATGAAATTTCTGAACTTGAAACGTTTAGCAAAAGAGAGTAATGTACAAGTTTGAAATTAATATAATACATTTTCTTTAAAAAAAATTTACAATTTCTGAGCTTGAAAAGTTGGAAATGTTTGACATTTTATTTGGTAAAAAGTCCAATCAAGCACTGAGTGATCAAAACAATAAATCAATATTGAAAAATTACATCATCCAACGGGCCAAAATGTAAGGTTGTGTGGAAATTTAGGTATTTTAAAGATCAAAATGAAAATAATTCATATAAATAACATAAATACAAAATAGCAAAACCAAGGAAAAAGAAATAAATCTGTAAAGTTTCTCTCAGTGGGTAAATATACAAAAAATGACTCGAGTAAGAGTAAAAAAAATATACTTTTAGGAGTGTTTTTACTACACTACTGCAAAAACACAAAATATTACAAAGTATTTTTGTCTAGTTTATAATAAAGGTATCTTAGTAGACTTGAAATAAAACAAAACTAACTTAAAGTAACTTTAAAGCAGGATATCAGAACTTGTTTTAAGTCAATAATTCCTTAATAATAATGAAAATACTTGTTCCATTGGCAGAGTATTTCACTTAAAACATGGGAAAAACATCTTATGAGTGAAATAATCTGCCAGTGAAACTAGAACTGTTTCATTAATATTAATAAATTAATAAAAGCTCCTAAATATTACTGAAAACTTACTTATAAGTTAGTTTGTCTCATTTCAAGTGAACCAAGACATTTGCACTGGAAACTAGACTGGAAATAACTTCGTAAGATTTTGTGTTTTTTCAGTGAACAAGCCTGAAAATTACATTGACCAGTTTATTTATTAGATTTTTGGCTCCTTTCCTCCTGCTGCTGATGTTATTACACAAAAAACACTTTGTAACATGTTCTGCTTTTGCAGTGCAGTCGTGTAAAAATACTCCTAAAAGTATTTTTTTTTCCAAAAAAGTTGCTCAGGTAAACATACCTGAGTAAATTTTACCAGTTACCACCCAACTCTGCAATCAGCATGTAGGTCAAAGGGTCAAACTGTATTTTCCAGGAATGTGTCAACCTTTCCAGGAGTTTGTTTTGAAAAATATGTTCTAAATTCAACAAAAGCTGCAATTTATGTCTAAAACAGGATTATGGAAACATGGCTTCATCACATCTGACTCTGTCTGAACTACGGGATAATAATAACGAGGTGGTGAATATTAATGAGTATTAATGGATATTGATGAGGTTGTGGGTTGCGCCATCGTTTCTCCAGCTGCTGTACCTTCTTGGCCACTGTGATCTCGAACAGAGCCAGCTTCTGTCCGACGGTCAGCTTGCTGTTGAACTCGTGCAAAGCGCTGGTGACGGCCTTCTGCACTGACGGGTCATCGCAGAAAACCAGAACGCCTTGCTGGCCGTCCACGTCTGTCTAAACAACAAATACCAGAAACGTTGATGGCAAACTCCCACACAAAAGTACATTTCTTTTTAACATTTGAGGCATTTATGGCACATTTGTAAAAAGAACACATTTAACTGAAGGTGAGATAAATTTAGCCTGTTTTGGTAAAGTATAATCTTTATTTAATATGAAACACAAAGCGATAAAGTGAAACCATTTGGTTCATGAAATCATCTGTAAGTGGATGATTTCATGTGGATCCCAAGAAATAATCATCTCTATTTTTTTATTTGATCATTTCTACACTCAGAAAACACAAAATTATACCAAGTATTTTTGGTCCAGTTTTAGTCCAAACATTGTGTTTTCGTCTTATTTTAAGTCTAATAATCTACAAGTAACTTTTCTTCAAGAAAAGTTTCAAGTTACTGATTCCGTAATATTGATGAAGAATTATTGCCTCATTTATCGTAATTATCTTTGGTAAGACACAATAAGAACCAGATATAATTACTTGGAGTTTTATATGCAAGTTATGTGAAAAATGACAATAACAGCAACAACAAATTTAAACTGTTTTTTGCTTTACAAATACATCAGCAGTTTAAAATCATTTTGGAGTAAAGGTACCCACAATAAAAGCCTCAATTTCAGGTATTATCTATATATATCTTTTAATATTTAAGTTTCATAAGTAAAGTAATGAAGGATTTCCTGAGCAGTAATGATGTATTTCTTTGTTTCCTCTTTAGTGATTCAGTTCATTTGACATCACAAAGTAATTCGCTCAGAAGCTGAAGCTGGTAAAATGAATAAATTGGTCCAAAATGTAAAAGTTTCATAATTTACAGGTTTCATTTCAACCCGAGCATTTATTGACGAGTTTCATGAAACTTTATTTCTCTTTTGGATCTAATTGCTCATACAATTTGCTTATAACTCACCAACTCAATATATAATTAGAAACTTCATGCTGTACAGGTTGTACACATTTTCCGTATTATCACTTTGGAAAATGTCTTGTTTTAAATTAAATAACCTGCCAGTGGAACTAGAACTTTTTAAATCAATAATAGAAAAATATTTACTTAAAATAAACTCCTAAATCAGGGCTGTCCAAACTTTTTATGGGTCAAACTTTTTATGAGTCAAAAGCACAAAATAAACCTTCAATCAAGCAAATAAAGTTATTTTTTATCTATTTTCTTGAGGGAAGTTGATGTTTTTCCATCACAGATCAAAAACGCTAAAGAATTTTGCACGCTTGCTGTATTAAATCATCTAGTTGTAAATTATTTTAGGCTTAGTTGAACAAATTAAATCTCAGTAATAAGAACGGGATTTGTTTCATTTCAAAACGTTTAGATGAGTTTATTCCATAAAAGTTGAATTATGTGGCCCAAAGTCAGCTTGGTTCAACTTCTGTTACAAGTAAGCAAAACCATGAATACTTTGTGTTATATTTAACATTTTCTATTCCAAATTGGGTCAATATTTATTTATTTTTTTACCATGGATTAAAATAAAGTCTAAACACATTTGAATCATTCTTGAACTGCATAAAATTCAGTCGAAGGGCCACAAATGGCCCTCGGGCCGCACTTTGAACACCCTGTTTTATATCTTGCTTAAAAGTTACTTTTAAACTAGTTTTGTTTTAATTAAAGTGTAATAAGATATTTACACTAGAAACTAAACCAAAATTACTTGGTTTTTAAGCTCTTTATAAATCAAACCTTGTGGTTTCTTTAAGTCATTGAAGAGTTTCTCGCATCTTAAACCTCTTCTTCTCTCTTTTCTACTGTTTTTTTCTCTTACCTGCCCAAACGCGGAGCTGCAGAAACACAGCAGAGCCGCGACAAACAGCCCCACTCCGCTGCTCATCATGGTGACTGCTTCGCCTTTTTATTCAGCTGCAAACCACAGAAACATAAAATCACACTAATTATCAGGGTTTCGCCTCACAAACCCAGCTTCCCCCAGCCGACTCGTTCCAAAGCTAGCTCACAGTTGGTGAAAATCCCGACTCCTCTCTCCTGTTGGCGGATGATTGAGTGAGTTTGTCCTCTTTGGCTGCAGCTGGGATTCCTGAGGAAGATGATGACACAAAGGGCACAAAGGACACACACACACACACAGGACAATGCTCGCCGCGCTCAGTTGGTGAAAGAGGAGTAAATGTTTGCTCTTCTGTTTGCCCTCCCACATGTCCAGTCAATACATCAGTCCATTTCGGAGGCAAAGGCAACACAAAGCAGGACCCTCAAACTTCCCCACATTACACTCCGAATCAGACATAAAGTGAAAAACACAGATTTTAATTTGTCTGCAACGTTTGTGTTTACATGCCACTGTTAGCAGGATCGCTGTGTTTTTGAGTCGGTTTTACGTGGAACTTTGTCCCCGTCGACCTTTAACCCCAGCCACTCTGATTTCCCCACAAACTGTCCGTCAGACAAGCTGAGGAGAGCTCCCATGCACCCAGATCAACAGATTACAAAATCTTTTCTGTGGATCTGCCCCCAGTCTGCCTGTTTACAGTTCATAAGTCACTTCAGCGCCACTTACAGATTTAAAACATACTATAAGGTTTAAGATTGCAGGGACATGTGGTAAATTAAATTCTTCTGAAGAAGTTGTATTTGGGATTTGAGATGCTGGATAATCTGATTTTTATTTTTGGTATAATTCAAAAAAGTGTATATTCTTTGTATTCCTCCATCTCTGGTTTGTTTGAGATGTTTAAAAAGACGTAATTTAAAGCTTACACTGCAAAAACACAAAATTACCAGGTAATTTTGGTCTGGTTTCTAGTGCAAATATCTGAAATAAGACAAAACTAAATTATAAGTCACTTTTGAGCAAGAAATAAGAGCTTGTATTGATGAAAAAGTATCAGTTCCAAAGGCAAATAATGTCACTTTAAACATTTTCTCCATGTTACAAGTGAAATAATCTGCCAATGGGACCAGAACTTCAATAAATCAATATTAAAGAATCATTGATTTAAATCAAGCTCCTATATCTTGCCGAAAAGTTACTTATAAGTTAGTTTTGTTTAATTTTAAGTGAATTAAGATGTAATGCAATGTAAATGAGACCAAAAATACTTGGTAAAATTTAGTTTTTTGCACTGTAAAGAGATTTGTTGGTTTTCAAGGTTTAAATATTTAAACCTTGAAAAGTGTTTAAGTGTTAAAAAAAACTATTTAAACACTTAAATATATTATTCAGATCCATGACCATTAAGTTTAGGAAGATTACCAGGGAGAGAATAAATTTCCATATTTAAGCAAATAACTTTGTTGATTTCTTAAAGCTAGTAGTTAGCGCAAAAAGTGAACTTATTGTGGAAAAAAATTTCAACAACAAGCATCTGTACTTCTAAGTATGGCTATATTTCTCAAAAAAATCTTATAAAATTATGACTTTATTCTGGTAACATTATGACTTTATTCTGGTAACATTATGACTTTATTCCTGAAATTAAAAATAAAGTAAATCTTAGTCTTGCCCAAATATTAAATTTTAGAGTTGACCTGAATTCAAAGTCCAAATAAATAGAAGCTACAAAACAAGATGGCCGCCCTTGATCTGCTTACATCACACGTAACTATGGAAACGCGAGGAGTACACTAGTGAAAAAAGTCCTGATCTTCAAATTGGATTAATTAAATCAGTTTATCGCCCAGCTGTATGTAGGAATAATGGCTTCTTCCTCGGTATTTCAGCCTCTGTTGGTTCAGACTGGATAAAACATGTAAATATGCTGCTTTTCTATAATATATGATGTTGAATGTTTGAAAAACGCATGAAATGTGTCGCTCCTTTTCTGTCTTCCTCCAACTTTCATTGTCTTTACTGAGAGTCTGGTGCCTTGTGATTCGGTGGTCGACTCCCCCTGGTGGCCTGGAGGTCTTCTGGTATGTGGAGTGAGTTTGTAGCGTTTATACTTCCGGGTGTTTTTGCTATTTGCAGCATTTCTCTTCTGTTTCGTGTGGTTGCAGCATTGTTCTGTGGTTGCATTATCTGTTTTGCATTTGTTTTGTTGGTTGTAGGTTTCTACTTTTATTTTCTGTGATCTAAGCGTTTTTCATCTGTTTTTTTGTGTTTGCGTGTTTTGGAGTTTCTTTCAGCTACCGTACTATTTCCATTAAATTAAGTCGGCATTTTATCATAATTTGTAGGTATTCAAGTTGTATTGATTATTTGATTATTTGAAACATTTAAGTTGGACAAAAAAACCTAAACTAGATTAAATTTGGTACTTTAAGTATATTATTAAGTTAAATTTGACCAAAGAAACCAAAAAAGAACAAACTTTGTCTTCACACAACAAGCTGATGCTTTTTGTTTCTCTCCTCTAATGATGCTGCTAAGCCTATTTAAAGACAAAAGGAAATCCTGCATTAAACTTGACATGTAATGTTTATTTTTTACCGTTTAATGAGTTAAAGTTCCCATCTTGCATTGCGATTTCTTTACATCCATAATTTACTCAGTAAGTGGAAAATTCAGATGCTGCAGACGAACTTCTCAACTGACTTTCTGCTTCTGTGGTCTCTCTTCATAAGCCTCTCGTAAATGTTGAGCTGTTCTCACATTTACAGAGCAAACCACAGCTGCACTTCCTATCTGTCACCAATCTACCTTCACATTTCTTCTCTAACCATGCAGCTAAATTCCAATATGAGCAGACTGGTTGTTTTCCTTTCAACTGCTTTTCTTCCAGGTAAGTTTGATGCTTTTTCACTACATTATTGGTTTAAAATGAGGAACCAGGTCAGACCTTGTGGTTTCTCTTTTGATTTGTACATCTTTTTATAAAACCGCTGAAGGGTAGAAATACTGATCCTGGTTCAGATGAACCAAGTCAGATATCAGACTTTGTTACACAAATCCATGTTCATGGATAAAATATCCACTTTTATTAGTTTTTTTCTCCCGCATGCAGTGGTGACAGCTTCGGGGGTCTCTCAGTTTTGTTCTTTCTCACTCTGTGGGTTTAAGACACATGAAAGCAGCTGCAGTGTTTCCTCTGAACCTTCACCATGTTTGTGCACACAAACTAGACATAAAACCAAACTTCGCTTCGCTCTCAATGAAAACATTGAATTAAATATCTGAAAACTATAAAAATGAAAAAATATAATTTTTCATTTCTTTTAAGTAGCGATATGTACAATGTTTTTTTTGTTTTTTTAAAGAGGAAGACGAGGTTGAATTAATGCAGATATGAATCTTATTGATGTTGGCTCTCTTCACCAGAGAGACGGCTCTCTAGGGCCATCCTGAAGGTAAAAGTCTAAACAGTTTGTGTCCAGGATGTGTGCGGTCTGCAGACATTTTGTCTCATAAGAAATGTCGGCAGTTTTTTGGGTCCATTGTTCTCTATTTTTTTGGAAAATAATTAAAATTTATCTTATCCTAAGAAACATCAAGATATGGGTCAGTATCTTAAACCCAACTGACTGTTTTAGGTTAATAGGCACTGACTGCACGGTTGTGATTCAGTTACTATCAAATTAATAAGTAAATAAAAATTTGCTAAACTACAGACAAATATTTTGTGCTTTTTGTAACTTTTGGATTTGTCTACATCTTTTTTTTCTAAAAAGCTCATATTGGTGAAAAATGTTCCTAAATAGTCTATAGAAATATAAAAACCCTCCATTTGCACCAACAATTTGTTGTGGTGATTTTGGACAATTCTTGAATTGTAGAAAACATAAGTGTCTAAATTTCGGAGACCTCTGGTACAAGATGTATTTGTATTCCTTCTGGTGTAATTATGTGTGTGTTATTTGTAAACAGTTGTTTGTAGTCTGCCTTTCTAGCTGTTTATACGTATTGTATGTGTATTTATTATATATATATATAGCAGCTGCTATTGCGACAATTTTCCCCTAGGGGATGATAAAATATATTCTATTTCAATTTTAAGTATTTTTCTGACATCCTCACATTTTCTCACAGTTTCTGCTGCAGCATCAAATTAATAAACTTTCAGAAGTAAAAATGATAAAGTTCCTTGTTCTTCAGGTCTCTGCCTACAGAGGAGCGGCAGTGCTGAGGCTCTTTTCTACAGGCCTGTTCTTCAACACAACAAAACCATTCCCACAACTGGTGAGCCCAGCCACCTGAATTATGACAAGAACAATAAATAATAAGCTGCAAAGAGGGTGGCACAAGCCGTGTTAGGAGGTGTTGGCGGCATTGTTGAGGTTTTCTCAAACTGTCTGGACTTTTCTTCGGGAGAACTTTCCAGAAGAATGAGCTACAGGGCTGAAAATGTTAGTTTGTTGGAGCGTTTTAATTCACATTTTGTACGTTTTTTTACTTCCATTTGGGTGTTAATTGCTTCTAAAAATAACTCTCGCGCTTTTAAAACACCCAGCTGTTTTTCTCAATGAGTTAATGTGTTTTTTTAGCCGTTAGAAAAACCTGCGGATTATTAAGCAACATTGCGCAGGCGCTGCAGCGTTACCTAGCAACCTCAGCCAAACCCAGGCCCGTTTCCTAGCAACCTCAGCCAAACCCAGGCCCGTTTCCTAGCAACCTCAGCCAAACCCAGGCCCGTTTCCTAACAACCCGAGTAGAGCTACAGAACGATTGGTTGGTTTTTACCACTGTGTGCGCTCTAAAGTGGCTGCGGTAAAAAAAAACCAAAAACAAAACAAAACGAGTGTTTTGTTGTCGACTTACCATTGAGGAAAGATGTTTATTACTGGGCATCTGTTTGCAGCCATTTTCATGCGCCTGAAAATGGCTCTGTACGTTCTGTATGTAGTATTTTAGCTATAAAATAATACTACATACACCTAAAATTTGATTTAAAAACACCTAGTGGAAGAATTTGTTAAACTGAGTGAAATTTGTTCTATGTCATCATCTGTGTAGCTCAACATGATGTAAAGTATGAAACATAACAAATCTATTCAGGCAGTAATTTATTGTTTGCTTGTCTCAAGCCACCTGTCCAACCACAGACTTAATGCATTTGCATTTGTTGCGTCTTCAGGAAGCTACATGCTGAGAGATTATGCTGGGCAGCCGTGCATCAAAGCCAACATGGGAGCACAGTATGTTGTTACCGAAAACAAGGTGAGAGGCTGTGAAGGATCCAGCAGGGGGTGTGTTTGTGTGTCAAACTCATTTTCATTCTGGGTCGGTTCTGACAGAATACATTGAAACTGTTAAAGTATTAATAAGTAGCTGTGTCTGCATTCGACATGTAGTTCTTAAAATTAAATATCAAACATCGTTTTACATTGATCCGCCTCTCAGAATTTTGCGATTGTTTTACTTTGTTTTTATTTTGCAATCAAAATCACTTTTTGTGTGTTAATTTTAAATATTTCAAATATATTTTGATTTTGCGATATTTGCTCTTACGTATGTCGGTAAATGTAACTAACCCAATTGACGTGTTGCAGAAAATTTGCAATAAATTCACAATTAAGCATTAGCGTGAAAAATGCAGGAATCTATTGATTTTCTGTGAATCTACTTGATCACAGAATCGTAAAACACTGGAGGGACCAGGTGATGTAATTTGCAAGAATGCAGATAAAAACTGCTTTGATTTGATTGACAAAATAACATTTAAGCACACAGCTGTTGCCTTGAAAGTTATATTGTGGAGTCTAGACAGGGCCATATAAGAAGCTATGGTGGGCCGTGCTTGGCCCTCGCGCCTCATCTTTGACACGTGGGATTAAATGCATCTGTGCAGCATCAGATAGGAGGTTCTGATGCTGCACGAGATTTGAGATCATTAGTGAATATAACTTGAAGTGTTTCTCTCTTTGTCTGTTTAGACAAACTGGTATTTCAGCCTTGATCCATCCAGGGTTTCGCTGAGCGGTAAATGCAGCAAAGATGAAGCTCTTCTCTCCCTCATGCTGCCGGATAATTCTGCATGTCTGGACTTCACCTTCAGAAAAGTAACAGAACAGGAACAAGTTTAACTGTTTAGGATTTTCTTAAGGCATAAACATGCTAATTTGTGTGTAAAATCTTATTGTCTGGTTATTTTTCCTGCAGGATGAAGATAATTTCTACGTCGCCAAACTGGCGGCTCGATTGTTCCCTCTACCTGTTTGCAAAGGATGCCCCAGTGAGAGCTCAGATATTACAGAAAACATTTTATCTGGAACAGTAAAATGAAAGCTTTAATCGTTTCTGTCTTACGGCTTTATTTTCTTCACAGATAAAACATATTCTGGGATTCTAACCAACCAGACGCTTTTCAAAGCAGCAAAGGACAAAAGCTTCAAGTGTACGTCAGAGTCGCTCCTTTCGGTTTCCTCTGAGCTGCGGATCAAGTTGGTTCGTCTGCAGATGCAGGCCTTCGGTGTCCCTGATGGGAAGTTCAGAGAAGGTAGCAGGAGGGCTGAAAATCTGACGCATCGTAAAATGATGAAAAATGTATCTAGTGAACATAAAAGTCATTTTAAAGCGGACCTATTTTTCAAAATTCACATTTTGCATGTTTTTCTATTTCCATTTGTGTCTCTTCTAAAACCAGTCCAAGCACTTAAAAACACATCCGACCAGTTTTTAGCAATAAGTTCATGATGTTTGATGTCTGGAAAATGAGTCATTTCAAAACCCTTTGTCACCGTTACCTAGCAACCCAAGCAGAGCTCCAGCGTGTTGTCATCTGGTTTTACGGCTGTATTTGCAGTACAATGGCTACTGGAAAACACAAGTATTTTATTGACTTACCATCCAGAAACCATTTGCTGTATTTTTGTTGGTTGTGCAGGAGGCTCCACTTCTGCTTTTCAGTTGTATAATTGTACATCTGTTTGCAGCCTTTTTGACACACGACTGAAAACGCTGAGTAGGGGGGCATGACCACCAGCAGCTTATTTGGATTTAAAGTGACAAGATGCCTAAATAAATGATTTTTGAACTTTTCCACCATTAATATGACCTTAGCCTGCATAACTAAATTAAAACACAAATTAAGAACTATTTAGGAGAAAAGAGCTTATAAAACATTGGAGGGATAAGAGTCTCATTATCAAAAGGTATCAATAAACAGAGGTGGATAGTAACTAATTACATTTACTTAAATACTTTTACCACACTACTTTTTACTTTTAGTAATGTTTTTATAAAGTATTGCTACTTTTATTTGAGTAAATGTTCAGGATATTACCACTGTGAGGAACTAAACTTCACAAATAAAAAAATTATGAGCTACAGACGCACCTAAAATTTAAGTTGAAATGAGACGTCTTGTTTGTGCAAAACCTTTGTTATACTAATGGCAATTTTGCACTGGAATTACTTAATTCTAACATACAATATATTTACATTACTAACTCTATTAGTTTCATTAAATCAAATTTTTAAAAAGGCAGGTTTGGGAAAGTATTTCTTCTGCCTGAATCTGTTATTTTTTAATCATTTGTATTATTCCTTCCTTATATATTTGGATATAACTTTACTTTTTTTCTGTCTGATGACATTTTTTACTCTATCAGAAACCGCTGAGTATTTTTAAATGTTGAATTTTTGCCTCTCTTGTGTGTCAGAGGATGAGTGCTGGGCTGATTTTAACCACAGAGCGGTTCCCATCATCATCGGGTCCATAGCAACCGGAGTCCTCCTCAGCATCGTGCTGAGCTTCCTGATCATCAGAGATCGCCGCGCACCAGGATATGAGAGACTCTGAACTTAATGTTTCACTTTTTAAACCCTCTAAATGTCTAAAATTTAAACTAAAACTAAAACTGTTTACAGTTTTATATCAGTGTTTATGTTTCTGTCTTTTAACAAGCATTTTTATTTATCATTGTTGCTCAATTTCATTGTTAAAGTATGGCGATATTGCCGCATGTAAAGCACATTGTTGCATTTTTTTCAACTCACCTTTTGAATAAAAGGAAAAAATTCTATAAGAACATTAAAATGAAAGCCAAATTCACTTCTGGAACTTACTCTGTAAATAGACATTAAAGTATAAATAAATATAAACAGTAACTTTAGTTATCCCTCTTTGGAACTGCATTAGAAAAAACTAAAGGAATAACAGTCATAATCCCATAAACTGCAGCAGTTCCTGTCGGTTTATAACCACAACCTTCAATATATTTCAATAAAAATTTTCAGTCAAACTTTTATGACTTCTAGAACTCTAAAATTTTCAGTTTTTAAGGTGTTTTTCTATCAAATATTTGAATTTTCAAAATCTCCGGAAATGGACGCCAGAAATTTAAAAGGTAATTGTCCATATGTTCACAAGCTATTCAAATATTTATAATTTTTTACTCAATATCTATTCTTTTAAAAAATATGCATGATTTAGGTAATATTTGTTAAATAATTTTATTTGCGATACAAATTTGAATTGAATTTTTGTCCATATTATTAAATATTCTTTTAAAATAAACGGAAGTTTTGAGTTGGTTTCCTATCGTTGCCATCAGTGGGACAGAGAAACACCCCCCTCCTGTGTTGACACTTTGTAACTACATCATCCCCACCTCCGCAGCGCGTTTTCTGATTGGCTAGAACACCGTACGGGTGCTCAGTAGGGTCTAAAATGAATAAAAAATTTAAAAAGCTAAATCGAACATGTTGAATGAGATTTAATTGTACAGCGTTTCATTTCTTCTATAAGTGAGCTGTTTTCAGATATTGCTATTGGACTTGATTGTAAATAATTCGTTTTTAGATTAAAGCTTTGCGTTTTGCTCTGCTGTTCTCTCAGTCAAACAAGCAGGTAGCTAGCAGCTGTAGCCTTAGCAGCAGCTGGTAGCAATGGCTGCAGTTATTCTGAGTTTTCCAACACTGCAAGGTCTGAGGATATTCACACAGTGAGTACAACAGTTTACCAGGTTAACTTCGGTTAGAAATTCTCAACATTCCTCCGTTTTAATTGTTAGCTTTTCAGTGTTAGCTTTCGAGTTTGCACGCAGTTTATCCTCTATCTGAGATAAGGATTCAGATGCGCTCTAAAAACCATCATTCATCTTTCAGCAGTCACAACTTATCTCCTCTAATTGAATTTGTTTTTTCCACCATGAATTAAGATGTAATTCAAACTGTGAAAACCAGTAGATGAACTGAGCAAGGTTAAATAAAGTTAGCAGAATGCTAAAGTAGCTGCTGCAGTTTGTTTACTTCTGACATCTGGAGGTTTTCTTGCTTAAATTATCTGTTCTAATGTCTTAGCCACATAGATGTGATCTTTTATCATCCTTCACATTCACAACGATGTAGATTAAAAACTAAACCCAGAATGTTGTTTTCTTTCCTCAGGAAGCTGTTATGGACCAAAAGAGGAGTGAGGTTTGTTTCAGGAGGTGAGAGAACAATCACATGATTTAATTCCTGGACCATAAGAGTGATGTATAATCATCACTATGAATATGATTACAGGTCAGCTTATCGTGTCTATGATTTTATTGAACTTCATTTATTAAAACAGAAATTGGAATATAAAACATTCAGATGAATTATATGCCTTCTAATTTCTAAAAACAGAAATCTCACTGGCTGACCTCCATGTGTAATCATGATTTTTAAATTCACTTGTCATGTTACAGCCACAAACTTCAGTGTACTTTGTTAGGATTTAATGTGACTGGCCAAAGTGCATAATTGTGAGATGAAAGTAAAATAGTTTTTTATTCAGTACCCCTGAGTCGATACTTCATAGAACCACCTTTTTGAGGCATGTCTCTATCAGCACATCTAGGGACTCATTTGGTTTTTCAAAATGGTGCTGTCACAGTACTTAATTACATTTAGGTTTGAACTTTGACTAGGCCATACTTATGTTTTGATTTAAACAACTCCTTTGTAGCTCCAAACGTATCTTTAAACTTGCTGTCTTGAAGCTATCCTCTGGTCACTGGGCTTACGTTGATTTAGGAGAGGCATAGTTAAGGTAGAGAGTTACAAACTATTTTGGTTAATATTTGTAAAAATAGAACCATGTATAATTTTTCTTCTACTTCACAGTTACGCACTATACTTCGTTTTAGTCTGTCACATCAAATCCTAATAAAAATACAAATTAGTTCATGTTTGTATTGTCAAATGTTAAGAAAATTAAAGGGTATTAATATTTCTGCAATGTAAAACTCTTGTCCTGATTCTCACTTTATATATAATTTGTGAATAGTCCCCAAATAATAATTTAGTATTTATTTTACATTGGACATTTTATTGGGACTATTGAAACTTTATGGGATTACAGTGTATTCCTATGAATCACTGAATCCTGAAAATATGCAGATTCTTATATTATATATAATATAATATATATTATATTATATTCTTTTATAATGGAAAAACCTAATACTTGAGCATGTCTTTATTATAATCAAAATAAATGTGTGCTTATAAGGATTCCAGATAAATAGAGATTATTTTTCTTGAACTTCTGCAGAGGTGGGAAGAATCGAAAAGGTTCTGATCGCCAACCGAGGAGAGATTGCGTGCCGTGTGATGCGAACGGCTAAAAAGATGGGCGTCCGCTCTGTGGCGGTGTACAGCGACGCAGACAGACACTCCATGCACGTTGCCATGGTGATAGATCAGATATATTTTCATAATACTCTTGTTTTTTATATTATCTTCTTCATCAGGTCTTAAGTTTGTTTATTGCAGGCGGATGAAGCGTACCACATCGGGCCGCCTCCTTCCCAACAAAGTTACCTCTCCATGGAGAAAGTTCTGGAAGTGGCCAAAAGATCCGGATCACATGTGAGTAGCGCTTCTTAATTAAAATGTTATTTTTTTATGTGTATTTTGTAACTTAAGGCTACGTCGTTCACACAGCAAGCCTTGATACTCAATTTCGTTTTTCCGACCGAAATCAGACTTCTGTGATAACGGCTCAGGTACCCAAAGCAAGCCGCATGCGCAGAAGAAGAACATTGACGTCACACGTCAGCGCTCTGTTTACGGAAGTAATGATGGATTCCACCGTTTATGGATCGATTTTTTTTTAAGTTTGTTCATCAATGGTTGCCGACAGTATCGTTATAAAATCATAACAAGATGAAGTAAGCTAATAAAAGTAAAGCAGAACTAATAGCAACGGCTTTTTGTGGAGAATTTACTAAAATTTCTGTAGGGAAGTTTGTTCGGAGTGGCGGGATTGGGATTTGATGGGATGCCCTTCACTGACTCGGAGTTAAGATCAGATAATGTCTTCTTTCATAATTAGAAATTTCAGCCATTGTTTTCGTCCTGATTTACTGCTTCTAGCTTTTTTCTGGTGCAGAATTTTGGCGGCTGTCTCACGTCAATGACGTAAAAGCCGAATAAAATGCGACATGACCAAACAGACTCTTTGAAAGCAATCCGATGCATCTCATTTAGTACCACATACGGAGGTGACGCACATCGGTTTTCTTTGGGCTGTGAAAACATCGGAATGCAGAAATTTTACTCAAATAAAGTTTGCGATACTTAATAAAATTACTCAAGTAAAAGTAAAGTACACTGTAGTAAAATATACCCGTAAAGGTATTTTTTCCCAAAAAAATTACTCAAGTTAAGGTAACAAATTATTACCAGACTCTGGATGTTAGTCACATTTGGGCAAAAAAATCCCCCAAAAAGCAGATTTGGTTCACATTTGCCTAAATGTGTTTATGTTTCCAGGCGGTCCATCCAGGCTACGGCTTTCTGTCTGAAAACACAGAGTTTGCTGAGGCCTGTAAACAGGAAGGAATCATCTTCATCGGACCTCCATCTTCTGCCATCCGAGACATGGGCATCAAGAGGTGACCCACCTCCGCCGGGGTTTTATTTGGAAATATTCAAACAGCCTGAGAAAAATTAACTTATTTTCATTCACAGCACATCCAAACACATCATGTCTGCCGCTGGGGTGCCAATCATAGGCGGTTACCATGGAGAGGACCAATCAAATGAGAGGCTGCAAGCTGAGGCTTCCCGGATCGGGTTTCCGGTCATGATCAAGGCAGTCCGTGGAGGAGGAGGGAAAGTGAGAGGAAACCCTTAACTAAAGGGAATTTCATAATTTTAGCTATTGCCACTATAAAACAACCTGGAATATTTTAGGGAATGCGAATCGCTCGGTCGGACTCCGACTTCCTGGAGCAGCTGGAGTCGGCGAGACGGGAAGCCAGGAAGTCCTTCAACGACGACGTGATGCTGGTGGAGAAGTTTGTCGAAGATCCCAGGTAGGAAAAGCTTTAGGTTTAACTTCAGGTTGGATTGTGTTTGAATGCCTGTTTTTTCCTTTTATTTATTTCCTGCAGACATGTGGAGGTTCAGGTGTTTGGGGACATGCATGGAAACGCCGTCTACCTGTTTGAGAGGGACTGCAGCGTCCAGAGGAGACATCAGAAGATAATCGAGGAGGCTCCGGGGGTAACGGAACGCTGGGCATTCATTCATTCATTCATTCATTCATTCATTCAGCAGGAAGTAGGAGCAACTTTCCAGGAATAATTGACTTTTAGATCTTTGTTGTGTTTTCCGAAGTTTGCGTGTTCATGTCATGTTGGGTCATCGTTTATCAGATTTGGATGATAAAAATGCATAAACAGATTTTAGTCACATTTTGAATTTTGTTTTTATGCAATCTGGAAAAAAATCTGGAATTTAAGTTTTTTATTAAAAACCCAAAAGATCTGCAAGAAAAAAAAAATTCCAGGCTTTATTCCCCACCCATCTTTCCTTTTAATTTTTCATCCTTCCTTCTTTCCTTTCTTTTGTCTTTCCTTTTCAATCCTTCCTTTTTCCCTCTCTCTCTTCAGACATTGAGTCTAAATGTGTTTCAGTTCTGAACCTCATGTTTGTTTTGTTTGTTTCTGAATCTCCTCCCAGCCTGGAATCAGTCCTGATGTTCGGAGGAAACTGGGAGAAGCCGCCGTCAGAGCAGCCAAGGCTGTGAACTACGTGGGAGCAGGTTAGGCTGAAGCGACCTTTGACCTCTTTGCTGTCACGGAACGCAGTAATGGATGCTGTTCATCGTCTTTCAGGCACGGTGGAGTTCATAATGGACGCTCAGCAGAACTTCTACTTCATGGAGATGAACACCCGGCTGCAGGTGGAGCATCCAGTCAGTGAGATGATCACAGGAACCGACTTGGTGGAGTGGCAGCTCCGGGTGAGGCAGAACCACCAACCCAGACTCTCTTTACCATCAGAACCGCAGTGAAGTCCCCCCACTCTCTTCAAATCTAACAAAATTGGTGTGAAATGGTTGTGCTACATTTGCGCCGTTATCTTTTTAAAGATAGTAATAAAAAAGTTTCCAGAGGTCATCAGAGGTCAGCCTCTACCCCCCATCCATGTTTACAAAATTAAACAAATCTGGTGTCAAACAACTCTGCTATGTTTGTATAGCAAACAGTTTTTGATTGTTCTGCTTTTGCCTTGAAGAAACTTTTTTATTAATATCTTTAATTAGGCCTGTCACGATAACAAATTTTGCTGAGCGATTAATTGTCTAAAAAATTATTGCGATAAACGATAATATTGTTTCAAGACCTTTTGACACTGATTTAATGAAAATGACTAATAATGCATGCGATTTCCTGCCATAGATAGATGCACTTTATTTTCAAAAGAACACATAATACTGGAACTGATACACTAAAACAAAACAACCAAAAACAAAAATAAAATGGATTCTCAGTCTCCATTAACAAAAAACGTACTTGAATAAAAACTAAACAACATAAAGCCAAAGTGGAAATAAATACTGCATTCAACCAAAAGAGTGCAGATTATAAAGTCTGTATACTGTATTGCCCTTCAGTAATCACTTGATTTAAATATAGAAGATGGGCCATCCGACTCCCTAATGCAACAGTTCACACTACACAATCTTTTTTGCCCCTATTTTCCCCTTATGACAATCTTAGATCGTTGGCCGCTGGTGATTTCGTAACCGATCATCCTGCAGTGTGTGGTGAGTTACGGTAGATCGTCGTGGCCGCTCCGATCTAAATCAGGGGTTTTCCCCGACTGGGAGCTTAACGCAGCCAGTTGAATGTGACAGGTAGCCAATCAGAAAGCACGGATTCTCCTCCGTGATTTCTGAGGGGTAAATTACGGAGGGGAATCCCAAACAGCTGACAAGGCGCAATCCGAAGTCCAGCGGACATCGGAGATGATATGTGGAAACAACATTAATATTTATTTATTTCGTGCAAAGAATATAGAAATGACAAGGAGAGGAGTTGGAGCCAAATTGCTACCGCAGTTGATAAAACCCGGTAAGTTTTCAGCTGTTCTTCGTTAACGTGACATAAATAGGTTACAATGATTTTCATTCAGTCAGGATTTTACGCTGACTCTAGCCACATGCATCACAGGTAGATTCTAGTAAAGCATTGATTAATGTCTGGTTTTAAAATTAGTTAGCTGGACTTGTAGCCATTATTTTGTGCCCATGTGGCTGGACACCACATGGGCACAACGAACCCGATCGAACCGTTATACCCAGGATTTCTGTGGCTAATGTGTGTCTCAGGTTTAGAAAATAGGTTGACAGTCGGCAGACAACTCGTGTCGTGTGCGCTGGACATTAGACTAAGGAAATGAGGAAGGGAGGGTCAGTGGAGAGACCGGAGCTGAGCCTGTTTTCATTCAGTGTCATCAAGAGAAAGGAAAAAGGCAGGAAGAGACGATAAAGACGATAATTAAAATGAGGTCGGTTTAATTTATCGTCTGATTAATTGATTTATCGTTTATCGCGACAGGCCTATGATGGCAGCACAAACAAAACTTTTTTTTTGTTAGATTTGGGTAACGATGGAGGCTGATTGACCTTTCAAACTTTCATTAATATCTTCAAAGAAAAAGCAGCACAAAAGTCAAACGTTTGCTGCACGAACGTTTGACTCCAATTTTGTCTGATTGGAAGATGAAGGTGGGACAACTTCTCTCTCAGGTCCCATCAGACGATAGTAAATTATTTTAATGAAACATTTCCTCCAGGTGGCAGCGGGGGAGCGGCTGCCTCTCCTCCAGGAGGACATTACCTTGAGTGGCCACTCCTTTGAAGCCCGAATCTACGCCGAGGACCCAAACAACGACTTTCTGCCTGGAGCGGGGCCACTGCTGCACCTATCCACGCCTGCAGCAGACCAGCACACCCGCATAGAAACCGGCGTCAGAGAAGGTATTAACACAGGATTAATGATCGATTAGTGGTTTATTAGATTAAAATTATTTCCAATAATTTCTGTTTAGAGCTTCTGTTAATGTTGTAGTTTGGCCTCCATCCAGCAGAGGGCGCTGCTGGTCATCCTTAAGCAGAGCCATTGGAACAGAAATTAAAGATGGCGGTGATATTATAGAACGAAAAGGACAAAAAGAGTCCGGTGTTGGATGCAAAATGGACTTTATGCGGTTCTGTTTCGAAGTATAAACACAAACCAGGTTCCTGAGTTTCACCAAATGTTGCGTTTCAGTTTCCTGGGAAGTGGAAACTCGGAGGTTAGATCAGAGGTAAAGGCGCTCTAGTTAAAACGTCGTAGTAAAGTTACTCCATCTTTTCTGGCGTTTCAAAAAGCGGCTGTGCAGCACATTGTAAACGTCTCTCATTCCAACAATAAGAGAGCTGTTATATATTTATAGAGGATTATAACATGACAAAAAAACAGAGGAAAAATTGTAACATGATAAAAAAAAAAAAAACGCTCTCCTGTTGCTGTGGTTCCAGGTGACGAGGTTTCTGCCCACTATGACCCGATGATCGCCAAGCTTGTAGTTTGGGGAGAAGACCGATCTGCTGCCCTGAAGAAACTCAGATATTGTTTACGACAATATAATGTAAGATACTGTTTATTTATTTACACAGAGACGATATACAACATCTCATTAACATTTCAAAATGAGATGCATGATACAGGTTATAGCAAAAAATGCTAATTGGTGAAAAGGAGTTTAGTAATTAATTACATTCATGTCTGATAATTAATTATTCAGATCTCACTCCAGTGGAACAAACTAATTTACAAACCAATAGACAATTCATAGACAGAACAAATCTACATATTTAACAGCCACATTTTTGCCAAATGTCCAAATATTTTATAATTACACTGTAATAACGAAATTGTACCAACTATTGCTTGGTTGAGTTTCTAGTGCATATATATATCAGTGCACTTTTATAAGAAGACAAAACTAACTTACAAGTAGGAGCTTGTTTTAGGTGAATAATTGCTAGGTTAGATTTTTAAAAGAACTAGTTCCACTGGCAGATTATCTGACTTATAAAATGGGAAAATGTAATTTTGTAAGTGACGTAATCCTCCAGTTTAACTAATTATTTTGAAATCGATATTAATTTAAGACAATCTCCTACTTGCTGAAAAGTTATTTGTAAGTTAGTTTTGTCTTATTTCAAGTTAACTAAACTAAAACACTAGACATAAATGCTTGGTAAGATTTTGTTTCTGCAGTGTAGAACATCTTACAAAGTCATTTGGCAAACTATTCAAATGACTCCTTTCGATATAATAGGACAGTTTTTAATAAAACTGCACTCGCCTGTAGAGGGCGCCCTTGTGACTGTAGTTATGTTATCTGATCTCAAAGAGACTAACTTTGTTCGCATACAAAATCCGATTTTCCAAATTTAACAAAAATCATATTTAGAAGGAATGTGAGGATGTTGTCCATCATCTCTGCTGCTTGTCGTGTCGTCAGATTGTAGGTCTGAACACCAACATAGACTTCCTGCTGAGCCTCTCCGGCCACCCCGAGTTCGAGGCCGGACGCGTGAGCACCAGCTTCATCCCTCAGCACTACGCCGACCTCTTCCCCGCTCCCAGAGCGCCGTCCGGGGAGACGCTCTGCCAGGCCGCCCTGGGCCTGCTGCTGCAGGAGAGGAAACACACCGAGGCCTTCACCCAGGCCTCCACAGGTCAGCAGGATACGGAGGGCGTTTCTGCAAAAACAGGGAGAGAAGATAATGTTTCTGATGTTTTTATTTTAGATCCCTTCTCACCGTTTGGCTCCAGCAGTGGTTGGAGGAACAACATTCAGTTTAACAGAAATATGAGGCTGCAGCTGGGAGACAAAAGTGAGTGACAAACATGCAGTTTTCTACTGTCACAGGTTGATTTATGGCATCTTTCTGCACTGCAAAAACACAAAATTGGTCTAAATTCTTTAACAATCATCTTAGTATACTTGAAATAAGACAAAACTAACTTACAAGTAACTTTTCAAAAAGATATATCAGCTTGTTTTAGGTGAATAATTCTTTGATATTGATGAAAAAGTGCCAGCTATAAGTGAATTAGTACTTTTTCATCAATATTCAGGAATGATTTTCTCGAAACAAGCTCATAAGTCTTGCTGAAAAGTTACTTGTAATACTTAAATACTGAAGAAAAAAGTTGTTTTAATGTGAAAAAAGGCTTGGATCACATTATTGCGACCTGACGTAGCTTGCTCAATGTGTGTTTTCAAAGATTAAATATTTCCTTATTCATGAAACTTGTACCAAAGTATAACTTTTCAAGATGCTCAAATAATTTTAATAATTAATTTTCCATGTTTGAGCACTCATAAAATCATTCTGCTATTAAAACTTTATTTTTGTAATGTTATGGCTTTATTTTCATAATTAAAAATCTAAATCTGATATTTTATCGTTAACATGAACTCAAACTCTAAATAAACAGAAGAAGAAAAAGTCTTCAAAAACCCCAAATTTGATAAAAAATCTCTTAGCGTTTACCAGATTGATCAACATTAAAAATGTTTTAAAGTTAAAATCAGCTGCTTGCCTGTTTTCCATCTGTTCTGTGGGATTGTTTTGGTATTTATTTAGTTTTTTGTGGTTTAGTTTTGAATGAACATTAAGACGTTCATCCGTTCTTCAGACTTAAACGCTTCGCTGTGCTGAACGTGACTCAGACCAGAGTTTAAGTTGTTTCCTTTTCTTGATTATTTCTAGAGGTCGATGTTGTCGTCACATATAACTCGGATGGAAGCTACAGAATGCAGGTAAGCTGGAAAGTCTTCTTTCAATACAAATTTGTTTTTAATTATTATTATTTATAATATTTTGTAATTAAAAATTAGTGTAAAACCTATTAGTTCCTTGCCACCCTTGTTGATGCCTTAAAACAGATTAAACTTTAGCTGTTTTAGAATAATCTACCTGAGATTTGTTAGATTCCTCCACCATTTGTTACATTTTGTCACTAATCTACAAAAACAATTACTGGAAATAAAGTTGTTTCTTATGATCTTTTACAATAAAAATGTGATTAATCATGTCAGCATCTCTGCTTTTCTAACAGTGACTTATTTGTTTTGTGAATTAAAGTTATTTAACTAACAAATCCAGGCTTTTTTTAATTGCCATGTAAGTTAAAGACATTTAACAAAGTATCTTTTTTCTAATCTTCTTGTTTTAGGAGAAACGTTATGAAATGACGACTTAATTCCTATTTTTAGTGGTGAGATTGTTCAATAAGTAGCAACATAATAACTTCTACGCTCATTCTGTTCTCTGCTAATGAAGAAAAATAAGTAAATGAAATAACTTTTTACATGAACGTCAACAGTTTCAATATTTTAGTGTTAAATGGATTTTTAAAACGGTAGAAATAAACTTAGAAATAGAGCTTTGTCTGTCCTTTATGTTCTGTGCTCTAATATGGGTAATATTATTTTTATACGTATTTAAACAAAATAGCTTCTTTTGTTTGTCAGCCAGAGATGTTTTTAAAAGTAAAAACCTTTAAATGAGCCGTTGTAAACTTAGAGAGCTGGACGTTTTTGTTTTGGAAACATTTGGGATTCTGAGATGGGAATTTGTAGAAAAAGCGTTTTTCTTCTAATTTTGTGTACATATATCTAGATCTATATATCTAGATATGTGAATCTAGATATATAGATTCACATATATATACATATATGTGAATATATGTAGATTTGAATGTGAGCCTGTGGGTTCTGGCTTCAGGTTGGACAGGCGGTGTACCATGTGACCGGCGCCGTGGAGCTGGAGGGCGGCGCTTCGTTCCTCCACTGCTCCGTGAACGGAGTGAAGTCCCGACCCAAACTGGTGGTTCTGGATGACACGGTTCACCTGTTCTCCATGGTACCATCCAAACCAGGGCCACAAATGAACTGTTGTCTTAGTAACCAGTTAATCTGTTGGTCATTCTGATGTTTAATCAGTTAATCGGACAAAAAGACACATTCTGCTGGATTTTCATTTAACTTAAGCATATTTTATACAAAGTTATAAATGCATAAAAATGCAAATAAATAAAATATTTTTTTGTAGCAAATAATTCAACTTCAATATCAACATGTGAAAAACTCGGCTCTTTTTGCTTGACTTACCAATACAGTGTAGAGCTGATCTGTTTATTTCTTAAATTAATTTATTTGTAATTGCATAGTAAAAAGATGCTTGATCTTTTTTTACATAATTGGAACCAGATGAAGGTGACGCTGCCACTTGAGAAGTGAGAATTGGTTTTAGTCGTAAATGTAAAGTGTATATATATTTTTTAATTGCTGCTCTGAGGAGGGTGTTGGTTTTCAGCACATGGCTGTTTTATGAGTCTTTACACTCAAGTTAACAACTAGTCAGTTACTAAATTAGTTTATGAATATTTAAATGATCAATTAATCACAATTATTCTGATTTATTCCAAATTTGTTGAAATCAGGACCAACAAGATCAGAAATTCTGTTAGAAATTGTAGGAATTCAAACGTAAACGCATAAAATACTGAAATAATCTGATCTGAAGACTGAAGCTGATTGGATGGTCTAATCTTACAGGAAGGAAGCGCTCAGGTTTCTGTTCCTGTGCCAAAACACCTGGCCGGTGTGAGCGGGTCGGGCCAGCAGGGCGGCGCCGTCGCCCCCATGACGGGAACCATAGAGAAGGTCAGCATGACGCAACATGGCGCTGGTTGTTATTTTCCATACATGCTGACTGTACATGTGGCTGATTTTCTGCTTGAAATCCTGAAAAATGCTTGAATTTTAATTATTCTTTGTTCTTGATTTCTGTATAAAGTCCTTGACAGAACTCGATATTTGAACTGCACAGTTTGGTAAAAGGGTGCAATCTAATGCTGGCTTAAATTTGGATAACATTAAATTTAGAAAACATTAATTACACTTGAAACCACCTAATAAAAGACGCAGTTCTGTTTTTGTGGGTGGTTGAAAAATCTGAAAACATAAAAAGAATTCTAAAAAATTTTCTTGCATCGTTTTCTGGCATTTAGCAAATCAAAATAACTTTGATAAATTTTATTGAAATAAAACAGTAGAAGTTTAGTATAGATACTTTTTTGTTGTTTTATTTCAGTTAAAATTACAAAAATTATTTTTATTTGTGTCAGAAAATTTCGCAAGAGCAACTTTTAGAGATTTTATGCAACTTTCTTTGTACGTTGTATTTTAACACCATTTGGATTGTTTCAATGAGATTAAGGTTTATTATTCCTAATATTATTCCTTATTGATTGTCTTAGATTTTATACATTTTATACCTGAGGTTAGTAGGTAACGGTTAGTTACCTAGCAACCCCAGCCAGGCCCAGCCCTGTTACCTAGCAACCCAAACAGAACCCTGCAGGTTTGGTGCTGCTGGGAAAAAATTAATAAGCATGTTTAGTAGACCCATCCTAACCTGGTGAAGGAAGAATAATATGGCACCTCTAAGGCTGGTATCAGAAAAGTCTGTTTTTAAAATGTTAAAGCAGTGAAACAGCAGATTTTGAGTGTTGGCTGCTCTTATTTGAACTGCAACTCAGGAGAATTTTCTCCGTATTATTTTTCATTTATTTGAATCTCTGAGTTTATTAATGTTTACCTCCGGCACCGAGGCGGCTGCAGAGGTCTGAAATTACATTTCAGTCTCTCTCAGACGTGTTGACCTACTTCCTGTTTGTGTCCAGGTGCTGGTGAAGGCTGGAGATAAAGTAACGGCTGGAGACCCGCTGATGGTCATGATCGCCATGAAGATGGAGGTGACCGACCCGCTCACACACACACACACACACACACACACACACACACACACACACACACTCAACGGTTTACACAGGGCTTCTGAAGTGATTGCCACCAGGGGGCGCTGTGGCGGCTTTAAAAAGTTGGAGGGAAAATGGAGAAAAAAAA